GGCCGGGGGCGGCCACGGTGATGAGCCGGGCCTGGCGGACGCGGCGCCATCGCAGTCAGGTGGGCCCCGGGGCGAGCCGGGCAGGGCCAGGGTAGACAGGAACCCGCAGCCGAGCCCCCTCCCGGCTGCCCAGCGCCGCTGGGGCCTGGGCCGCGCCCCGCGCCCCGCCTGCTTCCCTTTGGGGTTGACCCGGGGGCTCAGGGGTCGCGGGCAGAACCTGGCCCCGCCCCCAGGCGCGCACGACGCTGGGGGGCGACTCAGGGGGCCCGGGTATGGCGTCCGATCGAACGGCGGCAGGGGGCGCGATCGCCTGGGGCCTTGGGAGGGGTAGCGCTCAGCCCCCCCCTTTGAAGGGTTAATTCTGCAGCCTAACGTCCCCCTCCCCCAGTGGGGCAGGTTGGGGGGGTGGGGTGGGGTGGGGCGGGTGTGAGCCTGGGCAGGCGCTGCAAGCTGCTGGGAGGGCGATGGCGTAGGAACCAGGCAGAGCGGGGGAGGGGTGGGCCGCCGAGCGCCCCAGAGTTGGGGTGTGCGGGGTGCGTAGGGCGAGCTGGGGCCCCGGAACCGCCGCGCCGTCGGGGCTGGGTTGTGGCTGTGAGTCCTGGAGACTGTATCTCGCCGCTGTGTTGCGGGCAAGGTAAAACTCTCCCGGGTACTACCGTTTGTTGGTCTGGAAGCCAGGGGTCTGAGTAGGGCCCTCCATGGGCCAAGAGGGCAGAAAGGCAGGATGGTGTCTTATGTTGGGGAAGAATTACAAGATTTGGCTTTGAGTGACAGATGGGCATTGGAAACAGGGCACAATACTCGGGGTGCGGAGTTGGTTAGCTGTGAGATTTGAGGTATATTTTCTACCCAAGCATGTGTTTTCTTGCATGTATGTGTCATGCTGCACACATGAACTGTTTATAAACTGTTTTCTGCATAGTTAGCATGGTGTGTGTGTTGTAGAGGACACCGGAATGCCAGGTGTGTGTGCCCATTTGCAGGGGGCAGCTGTGTGTCTTTGAGTCAGACGGCGTCACGTCTGGGTCCCATTTCTGTAGCCCTGCCGAGGTGTGGTCCACTTGTGGGGAGACCGGGCCACTGGATGGGTCTGTGTGCCTCTGTGATGAGCGAGTTACATGGCGGTTGCGAGTCTAGAACCCAGGCCCTGCAGATCATGCGGGGAGGGAGGCAACCCAGGCTGTGTCTTGGGTCCTTGTGGGTCAGCGGGTGCTGGTGGAGGGGCTCAGGGAGGATCGGGCAGGTTGTGTTTATGGGATTGTGGGCAGTGGAGCGAAGGGGAAGGTTGTGTGTTTCCAACATTCTCCATGGGATTCTTTTGTGACGTTGTTTGTGGGAGCCTATCCGGGCTGCTGGGCTGGGAAACAAGCTGATCAGAAAACACTTGTGGGGAGGAAGGTGGCGTGACAAGGGCAGTGTGGGCCTCAGACCCAAGAGGCCAGCGTGAGCTACGTGTGCGTGCCTGACTTCTGTGTGTTTAAGTGGTGGTGTGGGGCTGCCCTGGGGATGTGTTATGAGGAAGGCAGGGAGATAAATATGGGGCACAGCACGGGCAGCAGTCGGAGACACCGGTGGTGTTGAAGTGGCCCCACCAGCCTTTGTGTGGGGTCTGCATGTTTGCCCCTTCCTGGCTTGCCTTCCTGGTATGTCAGGGTCACCGGGAGGAGAGGCCAGGCTGGCTGCAGGGGAAGTGAGCTTGGACAGAGTTGTGGCTCCTTGGCCATGTTTATGTGAAGGCCAGGTGTGTGACTCTGTAATTAAAATGGGAAAAAAAAAAAAAAAAAAAAAGTGAAGTTTTCAGTCTCCTCCTGTTTCATCCTCTGTCTACCCCCCTTTGTGGGTATCTGTGCTTTTCCTTCTCTCCTCTGACGCATATCAGGCCAAGCTCCTGCGACCTGCCATCGTGGAGGGCTCTGGGAACGGAATTTGCTCACTAGGCAGATTCCTCAGAACAGGTTTTCCTCACCTTTGGGGCCCGGGCCCTTCTGTGGTTCTGTGGCGCTCTCTCTCTCTCTCTGTGTGTGTGTGTGTGTGTGCAGGGGCTGAGTGATGTGTGTGCTTCAAGTATGTCCACCACCGTGTCCTGGGCCTGGCCTGGAGGGGAGGATGTATGTGCAAGGGGGCACAGCCCATGACCGGGCCTCAGTACCTAGAGAGAGGGGAAGCTGGCTGCTGCCCAAGGCCCGCACAACAGGTGCACAGCACAGCCTGGTGGAGGGGAGGGAGCCCGAGGCTAGAACTGAGGAGTCTGCCTCCATATTGTGTCCTCATGGGACTGGCACTTTCCCCCGAATGAGCCTCGGTTCCTCACTTGCAAAATGAGGATTACCTGCCCTACCTATCTTCCAAGAGGATTGTTGGAAATGGACCTGGAGAGTTGCTACAGTGTGGGGCCATGCCTTTCGCAGCTACTGTCAGCTCTCTGCCTGCACTGAGGGTCCCCTTTTGAGGTTTTTGCTCACAATGATAACAGTAAACACTTAGCACTTCCAAGGTGTCAGGTACTGTTCTCAGTACTTTTACACAGGATCACTCATCTTCACAACAACCCTGTAGAAGTGGGCGCCTTAATGACCTTCCTTTTTCAGGTGAGGCAACCAAGGCCCAGAGAAGGTAAGGCATTTGCCCAGAGTCACTTAGCAAGTAAGAGATAGAGCTGGATTTGAACCCAGGCAGTCAAGACCCATGTCCTAAGCTCCTAACCAGTGTAGTCTGCTGCCTGACTCGTCAGTAGGCCTCTCTGTGTGCCCCACTGCCCTTCTTCCCCATTTCTGTAGAATTCCACATCTGCGCTGATCGTTGTAGAAGACCAATGTGGAATGGATAGGCAGTGCTCTCAGCGATTCACCACTCCAGAGTGAGAACCTAAATATCTACTACAGTATAATATGGGGTGCTACCCCGATGGGCACAAAATGATGAATCAGGGGAAGGTGAGGTTGTTCCTTGTTTTGTGGGCCACAGAGAGTCAAGGAGGAGGTGGCATTGGAGTTCGATCTTTACATTTGGAGAGAGATCTTGAGAATGTCTAAAGATTGGGGAAGAGGCCTATCCAGCAGGATGCCAGCAGATGCCAAAGCATGGACGTGTGGGACGTGTTAAGGTTGGATAGCACACTGGGGGCTTGGAGGGGAGAGGAGGGCAGAGCAAAATTAAAAAGGAAGATTGGGGTTAGACCAGAGCCCTTGAATACCTGGCTGAGGAATTTGAACTTATACTAGAGTCTGGTAGGGACCAGCAAGAGTTTCTGAGCCCAGGAATGGTAACTCTTGAGCAGTGGCTAGGAAGTTGCCTCTTAACGGGAGGGAGGAAGACCATAGAAGAAGGGAAGCCTGGAAGCAGGACATCGGCTAGGAGGCCATGGCCATAGGCCATTCAAGTGTTAAAAAGGACTGGAGCTAGTTTGGGGGCCAGAGGTGGGGTTGAAGGGAAGGCTTTCCAGAGCCATTCCTAAGCTCAGCCGCAGATCCAACCAGACTTGGTGACTGCCTGGATGTGGGAAGCAGAGAAAGGGTGGAGTCAGACATGACACATTTAGCACTTAGCACGTGAGGCCTTGTGTGGTGATTTATGTAACCAGTTGGCCGGCCATAGGCCCCTTCAGAGCAGGATCTGACAGTATGGCACAGGGGACAGAATCAGTCATTCTGAGGACAGATGGGTCTGGGTTCAAATTTGGACTCTGCTGCTTGTAAGCTGTGTGACCTTGAGCAAGTCATGTGCCTCTCAGAGCCTCAGTTTCCTCTTCTGTAAAACTGGTATCATGAAAACACTTATGTTGGGTGGCTGTATTGAGGATCTCATGAAGGGAGGCGATGCATGTAAAGCCCCTGGGAGTGCATCAGGCAAATTGTGG